TGGGATTCAAATAGGTGAACAACTGGTTCTCTGTGTGGATGCCGCTTCCAGAAGTCCAGAAGGCCTGGACAACAAAAAATTAGCTACCGGTTCTGCCGAACTGGTGTGAACCGGCTGAATCCCACCACTGGCTGAGATGGAGACTTCAGCCCCTCTGAGGTCAACAGCTTCTTGACTAAAACAACCTCGATTTGACCAGCTCTGTGAGATATTGACAACACTGAATCAAATTTGCACTGGCTGTTATAGATGCGCAGTTGCCCTCTTTAAGTGGGGGAAAACACCCTCATTAGGACCCTGGTGGCACAGAATGCAGCACTGCAGGCAAACTCTGCCCACTGCCAGGAGTTCGATCCTGATCGATTCAAGATTGACTCAGCCTTCCATCCTTCCGAGGTCAGTAAATTTCATGCCATCGAGGTGGCAGGGGTTTCTGGCTTTGAGAGAGACTTCCCCTGGGGATTCTCTCTAGACATCCACATTAGGGAACAATGAGCAGCCTAGAGGGGGTGTCAGAATCCAATTATATTTCATCTCTAGTTATCAATTATAGAAAACCCCATTTCTGCCTTCTATGAATTCTGTCATACAAGGAAGGGAAGGGGGTGAACAAAGGGGCTTTATGGCCCTCACTTCCTTTGGTACAACTTCAAAGGAATTGAATGGGGATAGCACCAAAAGGACTAATCATAACAAAGGAGGCTATTTACCTTTCATGTAGTTTTCTCTGAAGTCTCCATCCAGCCGGCAGTAAGGAAAAGGGGGTGGGAGTGTAATGCCTGAGACTATTGCTGGAAGAAGGGGGTGATTGGGTGGAGCTACTGGAGAACCCGTTAAAACCTTGAATGGGATTGCTTGGACCCCAAGTCCTGTCTAGAACGCCTGCAACCATTTTCTCTTAATAAAGGATGCCTGTTGGAAGAATTATTCCAAGAGTTCTGTCTTCTTAAGATGCAAAGTGGGGTGGGTCCTTACAGGGGGTTCCTCTTCCTCTGACATGGGTGGGGAGGACACGGGTCAAGGTGGGGAGGAAAAACCCCCAAGGTGGGGAGGAACCCCCCCCAAACACTTTAAGGAGACACCTGAGACCAAGAAGGAAGTCAGGATCCAATGCTTTATTGTAGAGAAGAAGGGATGAAACCAGGATGGATTTTGGGGGAGGGTCTCCAGGCTGGTCCAGGACAGAAGAAGGGTCTCTCCAGGAAGTTGGTGAATTGGGACCAATTCAGGTGGGTCTCCTCGTTGGTGATGCTGTAAAAACAAACATTCAGATGTGAGGTTTCTGCACAGAATTGCTTCTGGTGCTACCCAGGAACATCACCCTACCTAATCTTAAAATCACGGAGGAAGAATGTGCTAATTGGGAGAGAAGGAAAGCAAGGGGCAGCCTCCCCACTGGAGTTATGGGGCTCCATCACTGAGGGTTTCAAGAAAAGATGAGACGGAATCTCTCCAGGATGCTCTGAGGATTTCTGCAGTGGAAGAAAGGTGGACTAGATGACCTCCAGTGTTTTTTCCACATCTTTTCTTTCCAGAAGACCTCAAGGCGAACTGCATGGACACGTTCACATGAGCTGCCTAATTCAGACAGGGAACATTTCTTACAGCCAGAAATGTGAACTTGGTTTTGGCTCCCCAGATGAAGCTATGGACCTTCCTATCACCTCAGCATGGACCAGTTCTGGTCTGTCCAGAGGATGAGCTGGACCAAAGTGGGCAAGGGGTTCTGGCCCAGCCTCTCCTCCTCCTGGAAGTCCTCCTTGTCTGGGACCTTCTGCCGTCCTGACCAGGCTGGCAGGAGGACCATCTTCTTCAACACAGTGTCCAGCAGCAGCTGGAATGGGGGAGGGCATTCTCCCAAAGAGGTTCAGGAGGAGAAGAGGTCAAGGGACAGTGGGTGGGGGAGGGGGAGGATCACCTGGAGGCTTTCACAGAGTGGGGGTGGATATCCCTCAGGAGGAACCTCAGGACACCAAGTTCTGCTTTAGCATCATGACACCTTCCTTTTTCTACCTCAACTCTACCTGGAAACGAGGAGAACCTGGAGGGTCAGTCTCATGGCTTCCACAGAGGAGAGCCTGGAAGGTCAATCTAGTGGCTTCCACAAAGTGGGAGGGGTGGATATCTATCAGGAAGAAGGGCTCCACTGTGCCCTCCATACAAAGGGTGATATTCACGCTTGCTGTGTGAAGATTCCAACAACTTCCTTTTTCACATTAGCTGTACTTTTGATGGACAAGAGAGCCTGTAGGTGCAGCAACTTCAACAATCCCATGCACACGTACCCAGACCAAGCCTTGGCCTAGGAGACACCACACGGCCGTTCCTTTGGTCTAAGCCAGGGGTCTTCAAACTTGGCCACTTTAAGACTGGTGGACTTCAGCTCCCAGAATTCCTCAGCCAGCAGGGCTGGCTGAGGAATTCTGGGAGTTGAAGTCCAGCAGTCATAAAAGGACCGAGTTTGAAGACCCCTAGTCTAAGCAAACCTATATTGGTGTTACCGACATGCAGTCGGTCTTGCAAGCATAAGTGCAACACTTCTGCTTCCCTGGGCATTTCCAGTCACTTTCACACAACACAGGACAAATAGTGATGGTGCCTGGAGGGGCCTTGGGCAGACCCCAGGTTTTTTTGCAAAATAGAAGATCCCAAGGCTGAGAAATTCCCCTGGAATTGGAATCACAGATCAAGCAAGATCCCATTTCTGGGCCTTTCAAGACCCAAAACGTCTCCACACATCCAGATGAGATGTTGCCAGCTGGAGCTGGATCCTACCTCTTCCTCTTCCCCACAAAGCACAACCATCTCCTTTTGGGGTCAATCTCTGGGGTCTCTGAGCAGCATTTTATAGCTGGGCTCCTCTCTCTCTCTCTCTTTTTTTTTATTGAAAAGTTTTATACAATATACATCCCAAGACCCACCCACCCCTACCCCCCTACCCCACTTCCCAGAGCTGAATACAGGGTTACAAATAAACAATCAAACTCTAAACAAAAAACATTACCCAACTATACAAGTAACCAAATCCATAACGCACTTTAACTCCCTTATAACATAAATATAAACAAATTAAAAATAATAATATAAACCAGTGGTTCTCAACCTTTTTAATGCCACGACCCCCAACCGGTCGTAAGTTGAGGACTACTCAACCAGTCATAAGTTGAGGACTACTCAACTGGTGCAGCACCGTTTGCAGAATGGGACTTTTGGCGGGCTCAGCAGGGCAGAGACAGCCTGGACAATTCCTATTGGCTTTTGAAAGCCAATAGAATTAGACTCTATTCAAGAGAGTCTATTCTATTGGCTTTCAAAAGCCAATAGAATAAAAGGGAGTAGCACAGTTAAGGAAAGGGGGGGGGAATGTCGGACTGCGTTGTTTGGCGACCCCCGTGAAATGGTCGGTCGACCCCAAATGGGGTCCCGACCCACCGGTTGAGAACCACTGATATAAACAAATCAATATTGTTAAACCATAATAATACTCTAAAGTTTACTCATAAGCTAGATGAAACTTTTTAGTCCCATATTTATTCTGAATATAATCTATCCATCTTCTCCAAACCGAAATAAATCTTTTCTTGTGAGTGATCCTTCAAGTAAGCAGAAATTTTTGCCATTTCTGCTAAATTTGACACCTTAAGCGTCCAATCTTCAAATTTTTGCCATTTCTGCTAAATTTGACACCTTAAGCATAGGCAAAGAATCCTTCTTCCAATATTGGCTGGGCTCCTCTCTCTTGACTTAGGATGCTGGGGGTGCAAATGTGCACACACGCATCCATTTCCACAAAAGAGGAAGGTGGTTCTCCTTGTGGGCAAGCTGAAGGTCCATCTCAGTCTGCCTTTGCCATCAGGAAGGGATTCCAGGGAATGTGAGTAGAGGCTTTTCCTGCTGGCTCTGAGGGGGGGGCGGGGGGGGGGAGCGGAGCCAAGATGGTGGACAGGCAGCAAAGGCTGTAAGGAGCTCCTCCAAAAGCAAAAGCCTTCTTTTATTTTCTTTTATTTTTATGTTAACTTTTTAACCTTTTTAACATTGCATTTTTAATCTACCCACTTTTAACCTATTTTAACCTACTTTTAACTCTTTTTAACTACTGGAGAGGCCACCTTTGTTTTTTAACCTACATTTTAACAATTCTACAAGCCAGGATCACTAAGAATGGGGAAAAGGAGAAAGAGACAGCACTCTGCAGCAGAGAGTTCATCCAAGCCACTGAAGCAACAGAAAATGGAAGATTACACTGCAAACAGACAGTCTGTTCCAGTAAGTAATTCATCTGCAGTCACCTTATCAGATAAATTTAATTTATGTGACTCGTTAGAATGGGACTTACAAACCGAACTGGAAAGCAAACAGCATGTAGAATTGTCCTCCTTCTCGGAGAATTGCTCCTCTTCTTGGAACTCAGCAGCAGCCCTCTTTGCACAGGAGGGAGATGTAATAAATTTAAAGGGGGAAAATGTGACAGATTTCCTCTCTAGACGATGTTTGCTTACTGGCTCAAACTATTAACTCAATATATGAACTCTTATCAACTGTCATAAATAAGGTTGACTGCTTGAAAGAATCTTTTGTAAAGTTTGCTAGGAGCCAGCCAAATGCTGCAGAAGGATGTGGGAGGACAACCACGGGTAGACATGGGATGGGTAATTCAGAAAATGAAACTAGAGAACGGCCTTCTCTTCCTTCCAAAAATCTGAACACTCAGAGAGAAAACATCTAACCAGGTAAAGGCTTAAGAGATGACCAATATAACTACAGTCTGCAGACTGGGTTACCTTACAAATTTATGACAAGAGAGTGAACAGAGGGTGTTGGGATAATAGAGAAGCTGTTAAGCTGTCCCTGAGCCAGTTGCTTCGCTGTGAACTCACTGTGATAGATCTTCTACATGCAGAGTGGCTGCCAGCAAGAAGGCAATATATGAGAATTCTCCTCTTGTTTAAGCAGCCCACAATTCCCTCCACGCTCTTTAAAATGAAGCCCTTTCTGATTACCTTTTCAATATTCCCAATAAGGGTTTTTCGCTCAGACAAAGTGTGCTCACTCCTGAAACAGCATCACCAAGAGGGAACTGTTGCTTTAAATCCAGGCTGCAACAGCCCTTACACTGCTAAGCCTGAGGCTGCTGCAACTGAATTGACCCCGAGAAGACAAAGGAGTAATATACAAACGCATTACCCACAGCTGCAGGAACTGTTGAAGATGTGCCAGAAGAAATGCTGATTGATCTATTCAGTGCACTGCCGGAACCTGAGCAAATTAATATCATTCAAAGATTGGATGACCTAAAAGAGGCACTGACAACAACTCAATTTACAGCAAACCCTCTATTTAATTTGACTCCACTAATTGCGCAACATTGTGACAATATATTTAATCAACAATCTGCCTTTCCCTCAATAGTGAAAAAAGATAGCGTCACACAGGCGGACAGTGGGGTAACTGCACTGACTGACCCTGTCTCTGAGAAACAACTGAAAGACAAAGGGTTTCATCACACAATGCCTCCTAAGCCGACAAACACTAAGGATATAATCCAGCTTCCATCCTCATTTGACTTAGAAGTTCCCACAACATCTCCCTACAAGATGAATTCTCAGCTACGCCCCTCCAAAAATGGACATAAATCTACATTTATAGATTTAAGCCGGAGTACCTGCCCATTTGAAAAAAATATATTCCTGGAGCAAGGGCAGAGGCACACTGGCAATCGAGATATAGAGAAACAACAACAAGTTCTGCAACCCACGAGAAGAAATACCGAACCTCACAACAACTGTGTTTATATGGGAAGCATAGATGATATCGACCTGGCTCCAATGTCAGGTTGACATCTGACATTTTTAACCATCTAGCCAATCAATCAAGCCAGACCACCTTGCCTCTGAGAAGTCCATTCAGATGATGACCTGGAATGTAGCTGTCTGGAAAGGGATGGTCGATAGTGGTCTAATGAGCTTTCTCCCTAGATTTGATGTAATAGCCCTTCAAGAAACCTGGTTAACCGAAGTGGATGAACCAGTACAACTGCCAGGTTTTCAGGGATGGGCCTCCCCAGCCCAAAAAACAAAGAACAAAGGGAGACTCTCAGGTGGGCTATGCATTCCTATAAAGCAAGAGTTGCAATGGCAGGGGGAGAAACTATATCATGAAGATAAGTATTCGTACTTCCTAGCTGTTAAATTTGAATATGAAAAGTTTGAGTTAATACTGATAAATGTGTATATCCCACCAATCACATCCCGGTATTATAACTCTGAATGTTGGATGGGCTTGGAAGTTATTCTAGAAGATATATCTGTATTGTACCCTCAGTCCATAGTGGTGTTACTAGGAGATTTGAATGCTCGACTGGGTCCCTCTTTGTATGAGCTCACCCAGAAGAAGGGAGTCCCAGGTGAATTTTTTGATAACCATCAAATGAAGAGAAGGACAAAGGGGGACATGATAGCAGTGTTCCAATATCTTAGGGGCTGCCCCAAAGAAGAGGGAGTCAAGCTCTTCTCCAAAGCCCCTGAAGGCAGGACAAGAAGCAACGGATGGAAACTCATCAAGGAGAGAAGCAACCTAGAACTAAGGAGAAACTTCCTGACAGTGAGAACAATTAACCTGTGGAACAACCTGCCTCCAGAAGCTGTGAATGCTCCAACACTGGAGGTTTTTAAGAAGAGACTGGACAGCCATTTGTCCGAAATGGTATAGGGTTTCCTGCCTGAGCAGGGGGTTGGAGTAGATATGACCTCCAAGGTCCCTTCCAACTATTATTATTATTATTATTATTATTATTATTATTATTATTATTATTATTATTATTATCATCATCATCATCATCGTCATCATCGTCATCATCATCCTCAGTGGCACTCGAGAGACTGCAAAAGTAATGCTGCTGGCCTGCTCCTAGTCTCCTTCATTTTTAAGGGTAATTTCCAAATTCTGGGAGGTAAGGATAAGGATTACACATATCCTTACACATACCACTCGGCCAATTCAAGCAGTGTACTGGATCTCTTTTGTGTGTCTAGAGATAAAGTTGACCTCTTTTCGGAGGTCACAGTACACCTTAGCGACAATAGCGACCACCAGCCTGTAAGCGTGACACTGCGAGGCCGCTCAGATTTAAGACCATATAATATGGCTGACAGATGGCTCAACAAAAAGGTAGAGGTGACCCAAAATAAAAGGATAACTTGGGCCAAAGTTGATATTAAGGCAATACTAGAATGCCTTAAAACAGAGAATGCTATTAAGTGGGCTAGAACAATCCAGTCATCTACTACTGACTGGATGTCAGCCTTCAATGCGTTCTCCAATCTGTGTAACATTCTGAAGAAACAGCTAACATGTAAGGACCCACCCCACTTTGCATCTTAAGAAGACAGAACTCTTGGAATAATTCTTCCAACCGGCATTCTTTATTAAGAGAAAATGGTTGCAGGCGTTTTAGACAGGACTTGGGGTCCAAGCTCTCCCATTCAAGGTTTTAAGGGGTTCCCCAGTAGCCCCACCCAATCACCCCCCTCTTCCAGCAACAGTCTCAGGCATTACACTCCCACCCCCTTTTCCTTACTGCCGGCTGGATGGAGGCTTCAAAGAAAACTACATGAAAGGCAATAGCCCCATTCTTATGGTTAGTCCTTTTGGTGATACACACATCCAGTTCCTTTCTTCAAAGAAAACTACATGAAAGGTAATAGCCCCATTCTTATGGTTAGTCCTTTTGGCGATACACACATCCAGTTCCTTTCTTCAAAGAAAACTACATGAAAGGCAATAGCCCCATTCTTATGGTTAGTCCTTTTGGTGATACACACATCCAGTTCCTTTCTTCAAAGAAAACTACATGAAAGGTAATAGCCCCATTCTTATGGTTAGTCCTTTTGGCGATACACACATCCAGTTCCTTTGAAGTGTACCAAAGGAAGTGAGGGCCATAAAGCCCCTTTGTTCACCCCCTTCCCTTCCTCGTATGACAGAATCCATAGAAGGCAGAAATGGGGTTTTTTATAATTGATAACTAGAGATGAAATATAATTGGATTCTGACATAACAGCTAAACCTGCTACAAAAAGATCCCAAGTGAGTAGACCCCGCTGGTTTGATCCTGAAGGCCAGCGACTGAAAAAGAAATTGAAGGCAGTCATGAGGCTTGCCCAGAGGAATCCTACTGCCCATATACAAGCTAAGATGTTGCATACAAGCAAAAAACTATAACATTGAAGAAAAAAACTATAACATTGGAGCAAAAAATTATAACATTGAAGCAAAAAACTATAACATTGAAGAAAAAAACTATAACATTGAAGAAAAAAAGCTTTGCCATTTCAATCTAGCCAGAACTTGAGGGCTGCCAGAAGTCATAACTCGGTAATATTTTGGCATTCTGTAGCAGGTGTCCTGAAGGAGCGAGATTTGCATTTGACATACTGATCTCTGCTGAGGACTGGGAGAATTATTATCAGTGTTTGTTTGCTTCCACGGAACCGGTAGAGAACCTGTCTTTAAGCAGTGATTTAGTAAACCTTAGAACTTCCCCCTCTTGGCCACCAGCCTCAGAAAAGGAGATACAATCCATCATCAAAAGTTTAAAGAGCAATAAAGTCCCAGGTGAGGATTTTTTACCAGCAGAATTATTCGAGAAATTTCCCAGTTGGTGGGGTCTTGTATTAGCAGGTCTTTTTACACACATAAATAATACCTGCCATATACCAGAGGGGTGGAAGATGGCAATAGTTGTCCCCATATATAAAAAAGGGAATAATAAAGACCCTAGTAATTATAGGCCCATTAGCCTGGTTGATATTGCAGCAAAAATATGTGCTAGGTACCTTTTGAACAGAATTGAAATCTGGGTAGAGGAAAACAGTATCCTCACAGAAGAACAAGCAGGTTTTAGACAAAGCCGATCCACTATTGATAACTGCTTTGTCTTGAACCATCTAATTGCCAAATATGCCTATAAGAGGAGACCCCTGTTTGCTGCTTTCATAGACCTTACAGCAGCATTTGATATGGTAAACAGAGAAGTATTATGGAGTAAATTGACATCTCTTAAAATAGAACCCAGACTCTTGGCTTTGATTAAAGCCCTTTACACAAGTCCCTGTTTGTGGGTGTGGTATGGGGTTAATGGAGCTCTGACTAACAAGATTCACACCAATAAAGGGATAAGGCAAGGGTGTATCCTGGCCCCATTATTATTTAGTTTATAGATCAATGACTTGCCAGGGTTAATGAAGGATCCCATGGTACATATGCCGATGATCCTAAATACTTACTGTAACAGCTTGCTTTATGCCGATGATATGGTTTTATTATCATATTCACAAGTAGGATTACGTAGGCTATTAAGAAGATTCAGCTCTTACTGTCAGGATAATTCTCTAATCATTGGAAGAGACATAAGTGGCAATTAGATGGTGAACAGGTTAACACCTTTGTATATCTGGGTGTAACTTTTTTCAAGACTGGATCTTGGGTTTGCCATCATCAACGAAGTACATTTAGAGCAAAAGCCCACCTGAATCTATTGCTTAAACTAAAGAACCATAGTTACCCAGGGTCCTTAGCCCCATTAATTAAGGTACATAAAGCTAAGGTTACCACTATGATCTTGTATGGAGCAGAGGTTTGGGGTCTCTACTCAACCACAGTCTTAGAACAAACACAGTCCCAGCATTTGAGATGTATTCTGGGTGTAGATCCAAGAACATCTGCTGCAGCAGTTAGAGATGAATTGGGAATTGATGCAATTCATGCTCTATCCAAAATTAGAGCTTATAACTACTGGTGCAAAGTCAATGAAATGGAGACTGATGGACTCCCCAAGTTATGTCTACTAGAGCAAATAAAATTACAACCACAAATCTCCTGGGTCACCAAACTAACAAATTTTGTAAGAAGCTGTGGTCTTCCTGTCTCTTGTGTAACAGGAGAACAATTCAAAAAAAGAGCTGTCCAAAGAATTAAGGATACAAAAGCACAAAATGATATAGTGATCCTTAGTAAGGTGGGTAACTTGAAATGGCTGAGTAAATACAAGCGTACTTTTCAAGTAGACAGCTATTTGAAGTTACGACTGCCAAAACACCTTAAGGAGATATTTATGCGAGCGAGATTCGAACAGCTTGACACAATGGTCAGATATGGGAGATTCCATTCTATACCTTACAAAGAGCGTCTCTGCATTTGTGGAGCAGCAGAGGTAGAAGACCTGGTTCACATACTATTTCATTGTTGCCTGTAAAAGAGGGTGAGAGACAGGTACCTCAGTCTATATACCAAACGAATGCCTCATTGGGATCCCCATATCAAAACAACTTACCTTATGTGCAGCCAGAACTTGAAAATAACATTTAACGCAGCTCAGTATTTAAACAAAATGGTTCGGTTGAGATCTGCATACGTGGGACTGATTGGGGTAGATTGCAGGGGTGACTCCAAGATATAATTTTATCATATTTTATATTTTAAATTACTGTACTCTATTTTAATTTCATTTTAGACTGTATTTTATTCCAATTTCATTTTAAGTCGTATTTTATTCTAATTCCATTTTAAACTGTATTTTATCAAATTTCATTTTAAATTGCTTTTATCAAACTTTGGTAATAAATTGTTGCTGGAACTTTGCACTTTGATATGGCCCAAGGGCTAATCAATAAAGATTTTATGATGATGATGATGATGATGATGATGATGATGATGTACCCTGCTGGCTCTGCACATCCCTGCAGCCCCCTCCCCCAAAACAGAGGGGGAAAGATAGAGCTTCCCCTCTGGATTTCAAGAGAAGTCCTCTTTCCTTGGATCTCCTGTAAGTTGCCCTGAAGTTCTTAGGCTAAATGCAGAGGAGCTACAAGGAATGAGGTTGAAGTTCTAAGCTGGGCCCCTCAGCACACACACACACCTGGACCCAGATAGAGATGGGTCTTTGATGGTTCCAGAAGAGGGCAGGATGGAGTATTCATGCCAACAATCACATAAGCACTGACAAACAATGACACAGAAAATAGTTCCCCAATCAAGGAACCGTCAAAAAGAAAACAACGCTTTGACCAAGATTTACAGGGTAAACTGCAGTATATAAACCGGGAGCAAATCCTTAACACAATCTCACTGAAAATATCCCCTAGTGCCTAGTCAGACAATGAAATGTCTGCAAGAAAACCACCAAGCTCAGAGAGCACCAAGGATGCCACAGTCGTCCTCCACCTCCACCTCCTCCACCTCCACCTCCTCCTCCTCCTCCTCCTCCTCCTCCTCCCTGCAAATGCCACTCTCTTCTAGCACTGATGATGTTCCCTAGTTGGGTCATGAAACATCTACAAGAAAACCACCCAGCTCAGAGAGCACCAAGGACCCCACAGTCGTCGTCGTCCTCCTCCTCCTCCTCCTCCCTTCTAGCTCTGATGATGTTCCCTAGTTGGGTCATGAAACGTCTGCAAGAAAACCACCCAGTTCAGAGAGCACCAAGGACCCCCACAGTTCAACCTTGAGATACATAAATTCTTTTCTATTGGAAGAGTCTGTTCACGGCTCCTTCCCTACTTACCAAGACATTTATTTTTGGTCTTAAAATTATTGGCATTGCCGCGGCATCCACCGTAAGTAAACTCTTGGCATTTGTTTGAATCCGAGTTGTAGTAGAAGCGAGTGATTGCACCTCTACATGGTCCAGGCTCAGCAGGAACACAACTCTGTGGCAACAGAGAGGAAGGTGTTATTTCATTAGGTAGCACAAACCTCTTTAACACAGCTCCCCAACCTGGTGCCCTCCTAGCATACTCAGTCTGAGAACAATCGAGAGCCGTCTAAGATGTTTTAATTTGGTTTCCTGCTCTGGGATTTGGATTGGATGTCTGGAATGGATGTTTCCTGATGTTTAAAATCGTGATTCTGCTGTTGCATTGAGTTAAGATAGATCAGCCATCTTTTGTCCCCCTCCCATTTTTGTCTCCTATTGAGTTGACACCCAACTACCATCTCAAGAACCTTCCTAGAAGAGGTACCACCAAGCCAGAGGTTCTAGATTGGGGCTCTTGATTTTCCCTCCCTGGGGGAGAACTCTGCCCTCTGATCACATCAGCCCCTCCCAGCAAAGGGTTTTAAGATCATTCTGGAAACTCACTTGGACGGTCCTGGCTGGAGACGGGGGTCAGCTCTGCCCAGAGGCTGAGGAGTCCCAGCAGCAGCAGAAGACTTCCAGAAGACATGATGATGCCGTGTGCCCCACAGCTGGACTGCTATTTATTCTCCCCACGGGAATTTCACCCCTGCAGATCCAGGAAGCAGGATGAGGCAATACAGTGAGAATCCGAATTCTTTCGTCTTTCACAAGGTGGTTGAAGAAGAGGTGGAATCTGAGAGTTGCATTGCCTGGACAGTTTTAGGGGAAGCCAGGCAGGTCCCTGTTGATGTCCATGGGTCAATTCTGTGTTCAAGCCAAACTCGCCTTTCCAGAGTGGCAGCAGTGCTGGGAAAGTCCCGTATTAGTTAGTTTGGGGGGTGTCCATGATCTGTTGGAATCTGTAGCTTGTTCACCTGACGAGATGGTGCAACTTCCTTATCAGGGCTGCCCTCAAGCTGGATACGAGATGTGAGGAGACTTCTACCCTTTGGTTCAGATAAGACTGCAGAGAGACTTTGCCTGGGGATAGAGGCCTTAAAGATTTAGGCAAAGAATACAGAATAACAGAGATGGAAGGAAGAGGTCTTCTAGTCCAGCTGCCGGTCAAGCAAGAGACCCAATACCATTTTAGACAAAGGGCTGTGCAATCTCTTCTTGAACATCTCAGTTTTGGAACACCTACAACTTCTGGAGGCAACCCGTCCCACTCATGAATTGTTCTAAATGTCAAGAAATTTTTCCTTATTTCTAGGTTGAAGCGTTCTTGTTCTTGCCATGCAAAATCCACAATTACAGGCTTCTGGGTCTCCTTTCAAGTGTGTGTCATAACCTTTCTTTCCTTTCTTTCTTTCTTTCTTTCTTTCTTTCCTTCCTTCCTTCCTTCCTTCCTTCCTTCCTTCCTTCCTTCCTTCCTTCCTTCCTTCCTTCTTTCTTTCTTTCTTTCTTTCTTTCTTTCTTTCTTTCTTTCTTTCTTTCTTTCTTTCTTTCTTTCTTTCTGCAGACAGCCCATCAAAACGAAGCACAGGTCCAAAGTCAAAGGAACCGGAGTCAGAAACAGGAGCTGGAGCATAGGCATGACAGGGATAATGGGCAGTTATTTCCAACATCACGTCGCTCTTCTTCCTCTTCCTCCTCCTTATGTTCAGACTGGATTTGGCATTTTGTCTACCTATCGAGTCCTTCCCAAGGACCTGGGATAGGCAGATGTGGAGGTTTGATGGTATTACAGATCTCGTCGCAGGATGGAAGCAGTTCCTAGGAAGGCCGCCTTTTGCACTTGACTAATAGCGAATTTGTCAATGCCAATGGTGTTCAAGTGGTGCTCCAGTTGTTTTGGGATTGCACCCAAGGAGCCTATGACTATTGATAGTATCCTTGCTTGCCTTTGCCACAGTCTTTCTATTTCTACTTGTAGGTCTTTGTATTTTGTTATCTGCCTTGGGACAGGGACCCCAAAGATTTAGGTAAAGAATACAGAAAAACAAGAGTTGGAAGGTACCTCAAAGGTCTTGTAGTCCAGCCCCTGGTCAAGTAGGAGACCTTATACCATTTCAGACAAATGACTGTCCAGTCTCTTCTTGAAAACTTCCAGTGTTGGAGCATTCACTGCTTCTGGAGGCAGGTTGTTCCACTGGTTAATTCTTCTCACTGTCAGGAAATTCCTCCTTAGTTCCAGGTTGCTTCTCTCCTTGGTTAGTTTCCATTCCTTGTTCCCACCTTCAGGGGCTTTGGAGAATAAGTTGAGCCCCTCTTCCTTGTGGGAGCCCCTCAAGGATTGCAAGATGCTATCATGTCACCCCTAATCCTTCTCTTTGTTAGACTAGAATCATACCCAATTCCTGCAACTATTCTTCATATGTTTTAGCCTCCAGTCCCCTAATCATCTTTGTTGCTCTTCTCTGTACTCTTTCTAGGGTCTCAACATCTTTGTTACATCATGGTGACCAAAACTGGATGCAGGATTCCAGGTGTGGCCTTACCAAGGCCTTGTAAAATGGTACTAACACTTCAGGTGATCTTGATGCGATCTCTATGGTGATGCAGCCCAAAACTGTATGGTCTTTTTATGCTTCCGCAGCATACAGCTGGCTCATACTTAAGTGGTGATCTAGTAGGACACTTAGATCCCTCTCATGGTTACTAATGTTGAGGCAGGTACCATCTATTCTATACCTGTGCATTCGCTTTCTCCTGTCCAAGTGTGGGGTCTCTCTTTTCTCTCAAATGTAGCCCCCTCATCTAATGCCAATGTTGCTGGGATTGATTTGCTTCCATCCATTGCTTCTTGTCCTGCCTTCAGGCACTCTGGACAATAGCTTGACTATTGGGGCAACCCCTGAGACATTGGAACACTGCTATCATGTCCCCCCTCATCTTTCTCTACATTAAACTGGACATACCCAATTCCAGCAACTGTTCCTTATATGACATATTAAACGTGGGGTTTTCTTTGTGTGATATTTCAATTCAATTTCAATTTCAATGAGGGCATGGAGAAAGGAACACTGAACAAAGGGAGACATTTGTGTTTCGTCCCCTCGCCCCAGTACACCACCTTCTCCTCCCAGTTCACTTCCCTGCTGAAGCCCTTTGCTAAACAAGGAGAGCAAAGCTTTAAAACAGCGGTTCTCAACCTATGGGTCGCGACCCCATTTGGGATCGATCGACCATTTTACGGGGGTCGCCAAACAAGGCGATCCGCCATTTTCCCCCCTCAGGGGGCGGCGCCGCGCATGAGCGCCGCGCATGGGCGGCACGTTTGTGTGACGGGGGTCGCCGTCACACAAACGTTGAGAAACGCTGCTTTAAAATGTCAAAGTATTTTTTTGAACAAGCACAAGATGGCCGGTGCTTATGAAGAATGATCTATTTCCTGCTCAAGAACTTTTGTGCACAGTGGCCGTGTGCCCTGAGGATGCTACTTAGATTGGTAATAAAATGTCTGTAAGAAAACAATCAAGCTCAGAGAGCATCAAGGATTCTCTTCCTCCTCCTCCTCCTCCTCCTCCTCCTCTCCACAACCCCCGTCCCTTCTAGCACTGATGATGTTATCTAGTTGGGTAGTGAAACATCTTCAAGAAAACCACCAAGCTCAGAGAGCACTAAGAATGTGTGTGTGTGTGTGTGTGTGTGTGTGTGTGTGTGTGTGTGTGTATACACTTACACACCCATATAAATTTGATATATATTAATATATTGGCCATCTCCCTGGGTGGTTTTCAGAATGATAAATAGGTAAAAAAGATAATGCAAAACAATTAACTTTAAGAAGATTAACATCAAGCACAAAGAGGCAGGATCACATGCTAAGTTTTTTTATTGCTCATGCCTGTCCGTAGGAATCTCGCCAACTACGGTCAGTGGTAAATGGGTAGCGTTTAGATAGCGGCATTCAAGGAAGGCTGGGCTGGGATCGCTGATCCAGTATGATTCCTCCGGATTCCGCCTCCAGGCTCTGCTTCTCCTACAATGAAAGAAGGAACTAGAAACCAAGGGGACAGGCAGCACGTAGGTGGGAATCTGCTCTCTTCCCTGTCAGCCGGGTCTATGACGCCACGGGAAACTTGCCACGGCCCAGTGGCCCCTCGCTGTGGGACAACAGTTACTCTAATATCAAAGAAACGGTGGAATGGAATCATGGGAGAAAGGATGGCAAAGGAGGGACGCCATGAAATATGACTGGCAAAAAGTAAGATGTTTTTTTAAACTATTTAAAATAATCAAATCGAATTGTTGAATTGTCCTTTGGCAAGTTGGCTGTGGCTGGCTGTCCCATTCCACTATCAGCCTCCCCCCACTTAGAGAGCACCCCCATCAGGGTCCCTGGCAGAGCCAGGATTTATGGCTCTTCTGGAAGGCCAGGTATGTGGGGACTGACACCCATCCCCCCATGAGAGAACAATCCAGGGGGTGGGGTGGATCCCACCAAATGGAATTTCTTGTTTGGTGGGACCAGAGTTGTGGGGTGGAACCCTCCCATTGGGCTGAAAAGATCCCTCTGGCACCCTGGGTCCACGCCACAGAGGGCCTTAAAGGTGATACCTTGAATTGGACCCGGAAGCAAATGTGCAACCAGTGCAGCTTGTATAAGTACAGCGTTACACATCCCTCTCAAAGAGCTGTCCACACCACCACTGCCTTCTGGACCAGTTGCAGTCTTCAAGGGTAGCCCCATGTAGAATGCATTGCAGTAATCCAACCAGGAGAGGACCAGGGCATGAGTGACTATGTGCAGGAACTCGTAATCCAGGAAAGGACGCAACTGGCACACAACAGTTGTTGCGGTATATAAGTCTCATAAATAAATAAACATGAAGTTGTGCAAAGCCTCTCCTAGCCACAACTCTCACCTGCTGTTTGAGCAGGAGTTGTGAGTCAGGAGACCCTCTATCTTTCTATATATTTCCAGTAAAGATACCTCACAGCACTGTCTTATGTGTAAGGATATTTAGTAGGACTGTATTATTATTATCCTTAATCATTTTTCCTGTTACCTTCTCCTGCATACTCCTACACAGTAATATAATCCTATGATTATATTACTGTGTACACTGAGAGTTTATGCATCGGACACAAATTTTTTGTGTGTCTAATCACACATGGCCAGTATTCTATTCTATTCTATTCTATTCTATTCTATTCTATTCTATTCTATTCTATTCTATTCTATTCTATTCTATTCTATTCCTGTTCCTGTTCCTGTTCCTATTCTATTCTATTCTATTCTATTCTATTCTATTCTATTCTATTCTATTCTATTCTATTCTATTCTATTCTATTCTATTCTATTCCTAATTCTATTCTATTCTATTCTATTCTATTCTATTCTATTCTATCCTATTCCTATTCCTACTCCTATTCCTATTCTATTCTATTCTCTAGGAATAAAACCTGCGTCAGGAATCCTTGCTCAGATCAGATCTGCTTCTGCACACAGAAAATTTCAGCAGCTCCAACAAACAGACTCTTTTGATGGCTGGTCATCAGGGAGTGGAGCAGATTTAGATTGTCTTATTTCTCCATTTGTCTTTCCCCCTTTAATCTAGAAGCATAAACACCGTCCTCATCACTTCAGAAGCAATTGAGAGCTGTCCAGAAGTGTACATTGGATCGGACAGGGGTGCAGGGGTCATCCTCAATTTGTTCTTGTTCTTGCCATGCAGTCCTACCTTGATGGTTGGAAAGGAGCCAGAATAAATCTATGTGTTGCTTCTCTACCTCTTGCCGTGCAGGGTAAAGTTTGGGGGGGCAAGTCTTGGGGCATCAGCTCCATTGGACCTGGTGGTTTTGATCACCTGACTACCACATTCCCCTCTAAGAGAACCTTCCTTCTTATCCAGCCACACTTCCGTTGGAAGCTCAATAGGACTTTGTAGACACCAGGAGGCCCACCTGACTCCGTCTACTCCGAGAAGGACAGAAGGGCAGGCCAAAGCTGTGCAAAGGAGTAGTGGTCAAGTATTTAGCAGCTGAGGTCCCTCCCCATGCCTATGAAGAACTCTGCAGGCGGCATAGCAGTTGGAAGGGAGCCCCAGAGAGTTGGCTTCTTGGTTTAGGATCTCCTGCATGGACCCCACCATGTTCTTTGGCCTTATCTGAGCCATTCTTTAGCTCTACGATTTGGGGAGGGGGGAGTGTCAGCACGTCACCCAGCAATTCAACGCAGGCATCCCACCACCAAAATGCCCTTAAAACAGGGGTAGGCAACCGTGGCTCTTTTATGATTGGTGGCCTTCAACTCCCAGAATCCCTGAGCCAGCCATGCTGAGGGGAAAGGGAGAGTTTCCAAGCTGAGCTAGGCTGGCTCAGGAATTCTGGGAGTTGAAGGCCACGAGTCATGAGGGGGCCATAGTTCCCCCATGCTTAAGGTGACCAATCTTTCTCCTTTAGGGAGGACAGTCCTTCTTTTGTACTCATTTAAATAATAATTAATAGGCATGTAAGCATAATTACAATATAAAATGTTATTGTTACAAATGTTTTTATTATGCATTTATCATATTATAGTGTATTCTGTATTGTTGCAATGAATAAAATGTTTTATTTATGATATTTTTTTCTTCAATTTATTTGTGTCCTCCTTCTCATTTTAAAAAAGTTGGTCACCTTACCCATGCTGGCTCAGGAATTCTGGGAGTTGAAGTCCACCAATCATGAGGGGGCCATAGTTCCCCCATGCTGGCTCAGGAATTCTGGGAGTTGAAGTCCACGAGTCATGAAAAAGCCAAGGTTGCCTACTCGTGCCTTAAAAGTTAACCAATTTCCCCAACATTTCTGGAGCCAAGAGCATGGCTGCCGTTGGACCCCAGAGTGGTAGGGAGTGATTGTAACCTCTAAGGTATATTGATTTATTTTATTTATATCAGTTGATAAGGCTGCCTATCTCACCAATGAGGCTCAGTTACTCCGAGGGCCTCCAAGGCTTTCTAGAAGGCGAGCAGAGATGAGGTCAGCTGGCCTCAGACAGGAGGATGTTCCATGGGGCAGGCCTGCTCTTTTGGTCCCATAAGTTAACAATCCCTTTTAGATGGGGCCTGGAATATGTCCCTCCCGCCAGGTGGAATCCAGAGGAGCAAAAAGGTCCCTCAAACCTCTGGACCCTGGTCCCCTCCTTCATGATTCTATAATCTCCAAGCCTCAAGACTCACCTTGCCAGGTGTGAAGTCAGCAAGTGTAATGTTCACAACCTTGCCCACTATCTTTGAAAGCGAGCTGAAGGAGAAGCAAAAGCAAGAAATTATAAAGTACCAACGAAGCAGAATATTTGTAGCTCAGGCCCTGGGTGCCCTCTGAGCTTGCTTGTTTTCTTGCAGATGTTTCATGACCCAACTAGGGAACATCATCAGTGCTAGAAGGGAGTGGGGTGTGTGGAGAGGAGGAGGAGGAGGAGGAGGAAGACTGTGGGGTCCTGGGTGCTCTCTGAGCTTGCTTGTTTTCTTGCAGACATTTCATGACCCAACTAGGTAACATCATCAGTATTAGAAGGGAGGGGGTTTGTGGAGGGGACTATGGAGTCCTTGGTGCTCTCTGGCCTGGGTGGTTTTCTGGCAGACATTTCATGACCCAACTAGGAAACATCATCAGTGCTAGAAGGGAAGGGATTTGCAGAGACGAGGAGGGGGAGGAGGAGGAGGAGGAGGAGGAGGAGGAGGAGGAGGAGGAGGAGGAGGAGGAAGAGGAGAACCACAACTATGGAAGGAAGCAGGATATGACCCACTACCATCAGAATACCAGAAAAGCACATTCAGACTCAGGTCAAAGTTCATATCACAGGAACAACTCCAAACAAAAGCTCAAGAAGGTATAAAAACCCACCACTCCCTATTACATATGGTCAGTTTTTCCAGAGCCATCTTTCTGTCTGGCTCTCCTCTTCAATAAACTGCAATCTTCTTTCGAAAGCAGTCTCCATTTTGTTTATTCCCGGCTTGGACTGGACCCTGACGAAGATTTTTTCTTTCAACATAATAGTTCCTGAACTATACCTTCTTGATCCTTCATATGATTTGAACTCTTTTGTTCTTAACTGGGCAACTTCTGAATCCTAGGCTGAATCCTACAGACTAAGTTTCCCCAAACCAATTTGGTCCCCTCCCTTCTTGATGTGACTTCTCACCTTCCAGGAAGGTTCCCTTCGCAGGATGACGGTTCTTCACATTTAATTTCCTCTGTCCCAATATACTCTGTGAGAAGTTTTGACATCTTAATCTTGATGTTCATTTTGGATTCCATAGTGATCTCCATAGGTTCATCAACAAAGCTGGACAAAAGGGAAGAAGAGTTACAAGAGAGAAGAGAATCAGTCTACTAAAGATCCAATGTCCAGGTTTTCACATTTAGAATAGAATTGAATAGGAATAAGAATAGAATAGAATAGAATAGAATAGAATAGAATAGAATAGAATAGAATAGAATAGAATAGAATAGAATAGAATAGAATAGAGCTGGAAGGGGCCTTGGAGGTCTTCTAGTCCAGCCCCCTGCTCAAGCAGGAGAACCTATACCAGACAAGTAACTGTCTAGCTCTAGCCTCTTCTTAAAAACCTCCAGTGATGGGGCACCCACGATTTCTGGTGGCATCTGTTCCACTGGTTAACTGTCCTCTCTGTCAGGAAGTTTCTCCTTAATTCCAGGTTGCTTCTCTCTTTGATTAGTTTCCAAACATTGTTTCTTATCCTGCCCTCAGGGGCTTTGGTGAATAATATGATCCCCTCTTCCTTGTGGCAGCCCCTCAAATACTGGAATACAGCTATCATGTCTCCCCTATTTCTTCTTTTCTTTAGACTACCCAAACCCAAGTCCTGCAGCTGTTCTTCATATAATAATAATAATAATAATAATAATAATAATAATAATAATAATAATAGTACTACTACTACTAGTAGTAGTAGTAGTAGTAGTAAAGTTGGAAGGGACCTTGGAGGTCATCTAGTCCAACCCCCTGCTCAGGCAGGAAATCCTACACCATTTCAGACAAATGGCTGTCCAGTCTCTTCTTAAAAACTTCCTGTGTTGGAGCATTCACAGCTTCTGGAGGCCGGTTGTTCCACTGGTTAATTGTTCTAACTGTCAGGAAGTTTCTCCTTAGTTCTAGGTTGCTTCTCTCCTTGATGAATTTCCATCCATTACTTCTTGTCCTGCCTTCAGGTGCTTTGGAGAAGAGCTTGACTCCCTCTTCTTTGGGGCAGCCCCTGAGATATTGGAATACTGCTATCATGTCCCCACTCGTCCTTCTCTTCATTAAACTAGACCTACCCAATTCCAGCAACCGTTCCTTGTATGCTTTAGTCTCCAGTCCCCTGATCATCTTTGTTGCTCTTCTCTGCCCTCTTTCTAAAGTCTCAACATCTTTTTTACATCGTGGTGACCAAAACTGGATGCAGTATTCCAAATGTGGCCTTACCAAGGCACTGTAAAGTGGCATTAATACTTCACCCGATCTTGATTTTATCCCTCTGTTAATGCAGCCTAGCACTGTGTTGGTTTTTTTGAAAGCTGCAGCACACTTCTGGCTCATATTTAAATTATTGTCCACTAGGACTCCGAGATCCCTTTCACAGTTACTACTATTGAGCAAGGTACCCCCTATACTATATCTGTACATTTGGTTTTTCTTGCCTAAATGTAGAACCTTACTTTTTTCACCATTGAATTTCATTTTGTTAGATACCGCCCAGTGTTCCAGTTTGTTCAGATCCTCCTGTATCTTAAGCCTGTCTTCTGGAGTGTTGGCTATTCCTGCCAGCTTGGTGTCATCTGCAAATTTGATGAGTTCCCCATCTATCCCCTCGTCCAGATCGTTGATGAAGATGATGAAGAGCACTGGGCCCAGAACAGAGCCCTGGGGCACCCAAATACATACTTCCTTCCATGTAGATGCGGTTCCATTGAGGATCACACACTGAGTACGGTTGGTCAGCCAGCTACGGATCCATCTGTTGGTGATGCTGTCTAACCCGCATTTTTCTATCTTATCAAGTATTAGGTTGTGGTCTACTTTGTCAAATGCCTTACTGAAGTCCAAGTAAATTATGTCCACAGCATTCTTCTGATCCACTAATTTTGTCACTTGGTCAAAGAATGCAATAAGATTTGTCTGGCATGATCTGTTTTTGACAAACCCATGTTGGCTTTTAGCAATGACTTTGTTTGCCTCTAGGTGTTCGTTGATTCGTTGTTTGAATATCTTTTCTGGAATCTTCCCAGGTATTGAGGCCAGGCTGATAGGTCTGTAATTTCCTGGATCCATTTTTTTTTTTCCTTTTTTGAAGATGGGAACTACATCAATTCTTTTCCAATCCTCTGGTAGTTCCCCTGTGCACCAGGATCTTTGAAAAATATAGTTCAGTGGTTCTGAGATCACATCTGCCAGTTCCTTGAGAACCTTGGGGTGTAATCCATCTGGTCCTGGCAATTTGAACTCATCTAGGCTGGACAGGTGCTCACTTACCGTTTTCTTGCCTATCTTAACTTGTGTTTCTATTCTATTTTTTTATAACACTATTTTTGATAGGTTGGTCTGTTTTAGCCTCCAAGCCTTTGATCATCTTAGTTGCTCTTCTCTGAACTTTTCCCAAGGTCTCAACATCTTTTTTATAGTATGGTGACCAAAATTGGTTGCATTTACCCTTTGCATGGCTTATTCTTTATATTCTAGGCAGGAATCTCCATTCACTTGAGTGAATGAGTCACGCAAACATCCCAAAGCCTTTATGGACTACATTTATCTCCCAGTTCCTTGACCAAGAACAGAACTGGGAGATAACAGAAACAGAAATAGAAACTCACCTTTCCTCAGCAACGATGAGGGTAGTAATAATGGACGTCTGTATTTCGTTGGGTGGTATTAACTCTGTGCAAATTTCAGGGAGGTGGAATTCTTTGATTTCCATCCTATGAGGTTTAAAAAAAAAAACAGTGTGAAGAATAGCAGGACACATTTTGCCCATGGGCTTTGACCTGGACTAATCACCCTGCACCAGTATTTCTCAACCTTGACAATTTTAAGGCATGTGGACTTCAACTCCCAGAATTCCACAGCCAGCATTGCTGGCTGTGGAATTCTGGGAGTTGAAGTCCACATGCCTTAAAATTGTCAAGGTTGAGAGACACTGCCCTATACATAGAAGTCAACGTATAATCACGTACAGGTTCTTGGAGGTGATCACCAACCCAATGAAATCTCTCTTTGTCTTCTCTGAACTGAACCCAGTTGTGCTCCTATTGCTAACTTTCCAATCAAAAAATGCTCAGAGGAATAATAAAATGATGGGTTTTCTGGCTCAAGCAAAGAGATTGCTGGATTTCACTTGAAACAGGCAGATTAACTCTGTGGGTAAGTCATACAAAATTTCTTTTATTCCAGGCATCCTCAAGACATTAACTCACAGTTATTGTAGAAGTTCTTCTAAAATGTAGATTGTAATTGGGACCCATCACACAGGTAAAAGGATAATGGGTTTCCCCATTCTACAGAGCTCCTAGCCTCGTGGGTAGGATTCATGGAGAGAGATAAAAGGACTGGCACCTAACAGGACATCCCATAATAAAGACACAAGTCCCTTCCAGTGGCCAGTTAGAACACAGGTAACAACTAAACTACATTTCCCAAAAAGCCACCCTTAAGGGGACAGCATTTTAACCCTTAAAATGCTACTTGCTCTACACACAGTTCTTAATTCCTAAGCCAGCTATATACTGGACCAGCACTATGGGGGCCCTCTTGAGTGACTCCTGGTCCTTGATGTCCTTCAAGGTGGCCACTAATCAGATTCCTTTTTGGGATGGATGGTCATCTATGGTCCAAGATTCAGCCTTCCCATTCTTCATTATTTCTGCTGCTGTAAGCTGGCATTCTAATAGAAACTAAGGTATTGACCTCCATCCAGATCTGTTGAGACTTCAACCATTGGCTGGAAAGTTCAGGATTCAACCCTCAGGATCTCTGGAAACCTGCTGGGAACCAACATCATATTCTTCCTTTGTCTACCACAGAGGAAATGAATCAACTTACCCTCCTACACCATTGATTGTTCTGGTATTATCCCAGGTGTTCATTGCCTTTTCTACTACCTCCTCCATCATGCTCCCGTCTGACATGAAGTTCTGGACCACTAAAAACAGAGACAGGGAGTCGATGTTGAACCAAACAATACAATCTCATATCATAACGTGGCATTGTCAGCTGTCCCAATCTGGTCGATTAATAATAATAATAATAATAATAATTAATAATAATAGTAGTAGTAGTAAAGTTGGAAGGGACCTTGGAGGTCATCTAGTCCAACCCCCTGCTCAGGCAGGAAACCCTACACCATTTCGGACAAATGGCTGTCCAGTCTCTCCTTAAAAACTTCCAGTGTTGGAGCACTTACTGCTTCTGGAGGCAGGTGGTTCCACTGGTTAATTGTTCTCCCTGTCAGGAAGTTTCTCCTTAGTTCTAGGTTGCTTCACTCCTTGATTAGTTTCCATCCGTTGCTTCTTGTCCTGCCTTCAGGTGCTTTGGAGAATAGCATGACTCCCTCTTCTTTGGGGAAGCCCCTGAGATACTGGAAGACTGCTATCCTGTCCCCCCTCGTCCTTCTCTTTGTTAAACTAGACATACCCAATTCTAGCAACCGTTCCTTGTATGCTTTAGCCTCCAGTCCCCTAATCATCTTTGTTGCTCTTCTCTGCACTCTTTCCAGAGTCTCAACATCTTTTTTACATCGTGATGACCAAAACTGGATGCAGCATTCCAAGTGTGGCCTTACCAAGGCATTGTAGAGTGGTATTAATACTTCACGTGATCTTGATTCCATCCCTCTGTTAATGCAGCCTAGCACTACATCAGCTCTTAGCAAAGAGAGACTCTAGAATCCACGGTTAACGAAAGTACACTTTACCAGAGCCAAGTGGTTGCAAGGTAGTAAAGCTGGATCTGAACTTTCATGCCCAAAGCATCTGGTTAACTCTTGCCTTTCTTGTCACCTTCCCTTTGGTTATCACCAACTGTCCCATTACGTTCAAACCAATTGCTTTGCTGACAGTCCCTGGGTTGGCAAGTTGCAGGATGCTGCATTTCAGGGTATGACCTTGGAACAGGTGGCAACTTTCACAGGATGGCACGATGAGTCGTTTCGATTCCCCTAATGTTAACTCCCCCTTATCCCTCCCTCTCCAGAGCTCCCTCCTTCTGTTGTGTAGCTTGTGAAGCAAGGCAGCTTGTGAAGCATGGCTGGCAAGGCAGAATGGCAGTCCTGACAGGCATGTGACCCTAGATGAAGGCAGAAAGCACCGTTCCTTTTCTCACAGTTGTCGTTCCATCCAAAATATTCCCATCTGTCACAGATGGATGTCTGGATGTTGGGAACCAATTCCCAACTC